TTGGGAAGTTGAGCTTATAACAATTATGTTAGAAATTAGTTTTTAGAATATGCTTTGAACCTAAATCTCCTAGTTGAAGTGAAAACTCTCTACCAATTTCATCATAAGTTTTACACTATAAATCGTATGACTTGTCGCTTCACAAGTTTTAAAATTGTGTATTGATTATTCACATATAATTACATGATTATGAATTGTGCATGTCATTATCTTTCAGCATTAAGTGTGATCATTTGATCCAACACAATGTTTTTGAGTGATCCACAATGCTTAATCATATATTTTGAAGTTATCATGAGGTCTTAATAGATTGGTAGTCTCATTACACTTCACAAATTTTGCTCAAATTTTGGATCACCAACCCTGTAGCCTTCTTTATTGACTCCATGTTACAATGCTTCAAGAAAAGTGGTTGCGAAGATGAGCATTTTGAATCTTGCTTCTTTTATTACTAATTAATTTTTTATTGATCTCAAATTCTCTTTCCCACTAGTGTGTGATAAGGGCGGATGAGTCATGCGAGAAACAAACTTTAGTATGTATTGGGAAAGCATCACATGGCCTGAGAGGGAAAAATTTGTGTCTAGAGAAAAGAAGGAATTACTAATTCTTTAGGAAAATAATGATCTTTAAGGAAAGAGCATAATATATACAAGCTGAAAAAGAAGCAAAGGAATAAGAATGAGGAGGGGGTGATGGTTAGGAGAAAAATTAGAAGTGCAAATTCAATAATGAGGTGATGGATCATGAGATAATAGGGGAAATAAAAGGGTTTATTTATGGATGAAGCTTACAATGAAATTCATCAAGTTGGGAGCCCATAAGCCACTAAGGTGGTTGGCAAAATAATGAATTAAACTTAGAAATAAGATAATAATTGGGGATAGCTAGCAAACTTCAATAACAATATTGATAAATGACTAGAAGAAAGCCTCAAACTAGAATAGTTATAAATGTTTCTAAAAATAGCTAGTTTAAGGGTGAATAAATGATTCCTCTATTCTACATAATAGTGTTAGTTGGATTAGGAATGTCATATTTACAGTTATACAATATTTTATAGGAGATAAAATATTGAATGACTATATGTAAGAAAATATTTATAAAATTTCATTTCTTTGAATTGCAATATATATATATATATA